TCGCGACCGCGGCGTGACGAGCGCCGCGGAGCTCTGCGCGCGGCGCGACGACCCGGCGCTCGCGATCCCGCCGCACGTCCGCCCGAATCTGGCGCTCGCGCCCGTGGGCCCGTCGGCGACGCGCATGGACCGCGAGGAGACGGAGGCGATCCTCGGCCGCTTCGCGGCGGCGGCGGCGGAGGTCGGCCTCGCGTCGACGGCCGTCGGCTCCTACCGGCGCGGCAAGGTCGGCGGCCACGATTTGGACGTCATGCTCCACGCGCCCGAGGGCGCGCCGCTCGTCGCGGTCGCGGACTACGAGTTCCACGACGGCGACGGCGCGGGCTTCCGGCTCCTCGAGCGCTTCTTCGCGCGCCTCGCGGCCATCGACGTCGGCGGCGCGCCCTTCCTCCACCCGCACCGGACCATGGGCGGCCTCATCGGCGCCAAGGAGGCGCCGAAGCTCGGCATCCGCCACTGCTTCGTGCGGTCGCCGGCCGTGCCGGGCGCGTTCCGCCAGGTCGACTTCATCCTCTGCCCCACGGAGATCATCGCCCACGGCCTGCTCGGCTGGTCGGGCTCGACGTCGTTCCAGCGCTCGCTCCGCGACTACGTCAACCACGCGCACGAGAAGAACTGGGCCGAGGTGCCGGACCGGCGGCCCATCGTCGGCCGCCGCGGCTGGAACGTGACGCGCGACGGCACGCGCGTCGGCTCGCTCATCGAGGGCCGCGAGCTCGACGAGGACGAGCACTGGGCCTGGTCCCAGAACGGCATCGCCATCGCCCGCGGCAAGCACAGCAGCAAGGGCAAGGACGGCGAGCAGTTCGAGACGACCTACGAGGAGTGCAACATCAACCTCCGCACGGAGGCCGACGTCTTCCGCTTCTTCCACCTCGACTACCGCGCGCCGCACGAGCGCTGCGCGTAAAAGATACAAGCCTTAGAGCCGGAACTGCAGTGGGTAGGGCTGGGGTAGCAGGCCCCGAACTTCGAGCAGGGGGAGCGCCGCGGTGCTCGCGTACTCGACGAACTTGCGCAAGTCGTCGGGCATGTCGACGTCGATTTCGCCCCGGGCCTGGAGGCGCCGGAGGAACCCTCCTAGTTTGGTTTCCATGGTCATGTCAATTGGGGTGCCGATGAGCGAGAGACGCGCGAAGGACGCGCCGCGCGCGAAGAGCACGCCGTCGATTAGATCAGCGGAAATGGAACCGTGCGAAAGGTCGAGA